AGCTGAGGTAGTGCCTTCACCCAACCCCCCGGCAGCCCCCGGCTTCCTCTCCCCGCCAAGGCCTTCTGACATCTCTTCTGTCCTCTCTGCAGAGGTTTTTCCAGGACACGATAATGGGTGATCAAATCCAGTTTATTGTTGAGAAGCTCAATCAGGAGCCCTTCAGGAAGAACTACAATTTAATCACATTTGACTCCTTGGAGTCAGTGCAGCTCTTGCAGCTGCTCAATGATGTTCTGGGGGAGATTGACCCAAAGGTAAGGAGGGCAATCAGAGGTACTCAGACCAGTGTAATTGTGAACATCTGAAATGGGATTGACACAGAAATTTCCTTTTATTTAGGTCTGGCTCTGTATAATGTTGTGGTGTGTTTGGGTTACCCAAGTAGCTTGTATGAATCTTCCTGGAAATAAAGGTGCCTGGCAAGAATCCTTTCTGTCTGTACATCTATGTGTTTTTGGCAAACCAGCAGATGTTTCTTGGGCCAGGGATGCTGATGGCTGTATATTTTTTCTTGGGATACAGATCTCAACTTGGTTCATACTGACAACCACTGTGTTCTTATGTCAGAAGTCAGACTGTCTTGCACACATATATGGGGCAGGAGCTGAACCTCGTGATTTAAGTCTTGCAACAGATATTGAATCCCTCGCCTTTGAATCTCCGAAGAGTGTGTGTAGGATGAGAAGGGATCGTTCATACATCTGGGGTGCAGATATATGTGCCTTGGTGTGCTTGGATATCTGACTTTCATGGTGGAAGTAATCAGTTTGAGGTCCCATGAGCATGTAAAATGTATACATAAGATAAATTTACCTGAATCCACATGTTGGAGAAAAATTCATTAGAAGAGAATGGTGATAAAAAGGATGTTCAGTATGGAGCATCTCACTTCACTGACATATGTGATAAGTGGATATAGTAAATTCTTTTAGTGTTGTTAGTTAATTACATGACTTGGACAAATAGTGGATTATTTTATTTTATTTTTTACTATTTAGCATGCTGTTGACATTAGAGAAGAGCTGCCAGAACAAACAGCTAAAAGAATGTTGAGTCTTCTTGGTATCCTTAAATACAAACCTCCAGGAAGTATATCTGACTTGTAAGTATCTTTTTGTCTACAAATCACAGTAAACCATCTTTTACAGCTTGTACAGTGACGACCTTTAATTCAGTAGCTGTGTATTTTTTACCTCGGCTGTCCTGGTGAGTATGTGTAATGCTTTGAAGACAACTCCTGCCTTGTCCTGTAGAGGAAGATATAGGGGATGGCAGCAGAAGGCTCCTGCTGGTGTGGGCTGCCCGGCCACAGGAGCTGCTATTGCGGAGCCAGCCAGGAGAGGGTGCCGAATGACAGGCAGGGTCAGTCCCTTTCCCAGCCCTTCCAGCCCAGCCGCCCGGGTCTGGGTTGCACCCTCCTGCACCAGACTATAACCCGGCAAACCCACTCTCTGCCCACATTGCCTTTATTCTTGAAGAATATCGCAGAAAAGGAAGAGTCGTGGTTGCTGGCTTTAGCCTTTTGGTGTGTTACAGGGTTTTTAACCTGTCTCAAGGTAGCAGAACTGGAATCGTAAATAGCGAACTGGCGCCATGAGGGTTTTCTCTTTTAACAGCATTCAGAAAATCATTAGGCAAATGGAGAGAGAATGTAAAAACATTGCAAATTGTTTGTTCCAAGGCAGTGTTCTTTAGTTTGAGATATGTTGGTATTTTCTTTTTTTGTGGTTTCCATATAGGAGTGCATTTCGCCAAGGGTTAGTTACTGGGAGCAAACCTGTCATTCATCCTATCTTACATTGGCTTCTTCAGAGGACCAATGAGCTCAAGAAAAGAGCTTACCTGGCACGTTTCTTAGTAAAACTGGAAGTGCCAGCAGAATTTCTACAGGATGATACTGTGGCTGACATCAACAAACAGGTACCGTTGTCATGAATGCCAGCATTTTACATTAATTAATTAAAGTGCCAGTAGAATGAGGGATAAATGAATCGGGGAGTAACTGCTGAAAAATGTGTTCAAGTGAGTTATGTTAGGAGCATATTGGAATCAAGGGTGAGCAAAGATTCGTAACAAGAATATACATCTTGACCACCTTTCTTCCCATAACCCTGAAATTGTATATTAATATGCAGTATTGAATTAAAAGGTTTTAAGCCCATTAAGTACCGGGTACTAAATAATGTTCAGAACCATGTTGGCCAAGACAGATTTTTGTTTCTTAATTTTTAAACATCTTATGAACTATGACCTGGATATTTTTAACTTCATAAATTACCACTTCAATCCAGTTCAGAAAATCTTCTGACCAAAAGCCAATGTCTCCTAATTATCAACTAATTGTATGGTATTTAGCTCCTAATATTTATATTAGCCTTATTCCACTTCTGCTTCAATCATTTATTTTTTTGTGAATAAATAAAAGATGTCTTCTTCCCGGGCTGACATTCCTACTCATTATGTTCCCACTTCTTTTGTGAGCATTAAATGTTGATTTTAGATAGTCAGAGTGGGTGGGTTTGAAATGTAAAGCTTAAAGTGAACCAAAGTTATGTTTTTAGATCTGTATTATCTGAGGTACATATTTACCTAATTGTTATCCTGTTTTCTGAGCCTTTTGTTATGTTTGATGACTTTGCAAAATGGCAGTGTTTTTGAATGTTTATAATGGGTAACTCGATTTATTGACTGTGCACCAGCAAAGCTGTGTAGTGTGCCTGCAACTTGACTAAGCCTTTTACTTTTCTGTTACCACTAACAATGCTGGATTTATAAGTTGGAATAACTAAGCAGAACTAGCAAAGAGAGAAAGGAATGCAGATTGTATGTTTTTTCAGTATGTCACAGTCATAATATGTATAAATATCCAACTCCGTCATTTCCATTACGTGAGATGTCTTCCTTTTTGGGATTACAGTAATATAACAGTCTTATTAAACTAATACCCTGCTGATTAATTCAAAACAGAAGCTGGGGCAATATAGTGCCTTAATGTAAATTAACATTACCGTGCAAATAGTTCAATACTAATGAATTAAAGAATTTAGCCTAAAGATAGACAGCCTTGCAATAGAGTCTTTTAAGAGAAACATTTAAAACATGAGAGTCTGGAAACATTAGAGCACGGTCAAGTTTAATGGGAGTATAGAATCAAGCTCAAACGTACTTCTGCAAATTATTTTAAAAAGGTACTCAGAGTACTTGCCACCTTCCCGACTGTGGTGTGATTTGGACATCAGATTGGCTGCAGAATATAATTTAAGCAGTAAGCAACCTCGGGCATAAATCTAATTGTCCACTCCTCGGTGAGTTGCACTCAGGTGCCAGGAATCTTCCGTTCCTCTGCAGGAGCCTGGGTGTTGTTCGGTCATCTGAGTGTGTCGCTTTCTTCGGGTACACATGGAGTAACTGCAGCTTTTATTCGGTGAAAGTGAGAAACCTTCCTTTCATCATGGTTTGGCAAACTGTGTTATGCCCTTGCTTGAATCCTACCACTAGTCTTGAAATTTTGTGTCCCAATGAGAAAACACTAAACTCCCCTTTTGAAAGAGTTGGAGAATCCACACAAAGTAAAGCTGCTGGACACCAGCAATCGTCAATACAGTTGCTCAGAGACTACTTGCTATTTCGTTATTGGTTAAAGTACTTCACTTGTGTAACAAATAAGTGAGGGAAAGCAGGCCAGTTGCATTTTTAAACCTATTTTTTTGTAACTCATTCTGCATTGTCCAGTGTGTGCACACCTTACACCTTTATTTGCTATTTAATCAAGCTCTTTCTCTATTATTTTATCTTCTTCTCAGTAGCCATTTTACTGCTATTTTTTAAAATTCATCCCAGCATGTCAGTGTGTGCCTGATATTGAAACAACCAGAAATTAACATTCTAGATGCTGGTTCTCCAGGGTTTTATAGAACAGAATTGCTGCTTCACTGCTCAGGGACATGATGCCTCTGTTTGAACTGGCCTTTGCCGTTGCCATTTTGTGTTCCACATTCATATCAAGTGCTCTTTCCAGGAAGTAAAAAATGACTTGATAGTCTCCTTTTGGATTTTTCCATCTCGTGGAATGGCTGTTTCTGTGGAGATTATCTTTCCTTATATCTCAGCTTGCATTTCTCCAAGTTGAATCTAAATTTATGTCCTATCCATATTTCTAAACTCTTTCTGTCCCCTGTTATTTCTCTACCCACACAGACTTTCACACTGCCTCTCAGTTTAAGATTACTGGTGGGCAATGTACTGGTGTGGAAGTAGCACACCGTCTACTTCTTTCTAGCTGCCGAACTACATCTATCACTCTCTGTGTTACACGGAGGGCATGATTACGCAATGTGTCAAAGCTATTTCTCACAGAAGTCAGGTGTGCTTTTGGACCGTGTTGCTGGATTGAAGCTCAGTGCTCTATAAATTCAAGCCCCATTGCTTTGATCAAGCATGTTGTTAAATCAAGCTCTTCCTTTTTGGGTGGATAAATTTACATATGTGATATACACAGGTTTATACTGTTAATATTGCATTGCTCCTTTCAGGTAACCTCTTATCGTCTATGTATTGCAAGGGAAGAGGTGAAAATACTGAAGAAATCGAGAAACTTCTGAGTGTGCCTTCAAATGGAAGATAATGCACTGTGATTTGTTTTTATTTTTGCTTTAAAAGTTGACAAGCCCTTGTGATGAATAAATGCCTTTAATTCTTGTTCTCACCATATTTCTATTTCTATATTTACTGTCTTAGTATTAAAGCAACATGTTGATCTGAAAATCCTCACACACAGAGCTCATTCTGCATGGCTTTTACTTCATTTTATAGTATGAAGAACTGATGGAAGCATTTAAAAACCTACATAAGGAATGTGAGCAGCTCAAAACATCTGGTTTATCTACTGCCGAAATAAGAAGGGTAAAAAAAATCTGACAAAATTGCACAATTTTTGTTTATTTTTTTTAATGTCAGTACTATTTTTGTTGGTTTTGTGGACTCATTGTAGTGTATAATTTGTAGAGGTCCAAGCTGGTAGGCCCTGCAGCTGCCTTTCTAAAACTCTTCTCAGTTGGCAAACTGAAGAGAAAGCCCTCGCTCGTGCTCAGAACTGAGCTTTCTGAAGCAGATTGGGTATCGAGGCTGCCAAGGCTCTGTTCAGCGAGATTTTCAAATATGAAAACTCCCTTTCCTGTGAATGCAGACTGATACACAGCCTTTTGCTCTGATATTGGGCAATAATTTCAGAGGGTGTTGAATGAATTAAGAGCTTAAGTAAAAAAAAATTATGATCCTGTGTGGTTAAGGTGTTAGGTAAAGGTATTTGCCCCGTTTCACCAAATAAGTGCGGGTAGAGCTTTCCAGTAAGACATATGGACAACTTAAGAAAATGTTGAGATAAGGCCTAAATTTGGAGAATTCATTTCCCTTTCTCTCATAACTATCAATCTCTGGAATCCTTCTCTTGTTAGATAGGATTAAAGGAGAAAAATAGTTGGAGACATATTTTAGCACTAGAAAGTGTTTATTTTAACACAATTTTAATACAAAAAGTGGCAGCAAACATGGCTTGTATGCAGCTTCATGCAAAATTGTCTGCCAAGAAGTGGGTAAGGATGGTAACATTAAGAACATATGTTTGACTGCATCAGATGTTGAATTCATGCTGATTTTTGCTTGGTTGTTTCTGTTTGTTTGCTTTTATTTTAGAAAAGCCCACCTACTTCTGTTGTAAATGTTCACACTAATACTGAAAGATGCAGGTGAAGGAATGTTAGCATAAAGAGAGTGGGAACTGTGGGGGAAGTAAAAGAAAAGAGAGAGATTGGAACCTGGATGTTCTGATCATAGATGAGTAAAATTATACCTGCTTCAGTGTATTCAGAGAAGAATTCTGATTTTCATATTAATTTGAACAGAATTTAGTCCAATCCATATTATATTGTAAATAAATTAACATTTCTGTATCTATTTTTTCTGCGTTTTAGGACATCACTGCAATGGAAGAGGAGAAAGATCAACTCATCAAAAGAGTAGAGCGTCTTAAGAAGAGGGTAATAAGAGAAGTAACACTGTTACATTTCAGTGTCATAATCCTTGGCTTGCAACTCTGATTTAGGAATGCAAACAAGGATTAAGATAAACACACTGTATGTCTAGGAAGGAATCGGATAACTAATTGACCCACGGGGAATCTCCCTAGGCGCTAGTCCAGAGCTTTTAAGAATCTTGAGTCCAGTACTTTGCTGTCATTTCAGAGTAGTAACATGTATGGAAAGGAAGCGCTAAGTAGGCTTGTGAGACATATGATCTCGTTAATGTATTTCTCAACTATCTGACAGTAACATGCACTATTTATCCACTTGCTGTAGGTGGAGACAGTACAAAATCATCAACAAATGCTTGAAATAGCAAGACAGCTTCGCTTAGAAAAAGAGAAAGAAGAATCTTTGGCTCAACAGAAACAAGAACAAAAAAATCAGGTACTGACATAAAAGCATACCTATTAAAATAAATAGTTGTTGACATTTGTTTGCAAATCATGCATTTAAGAAGGTACATCAGGAACAACAGTACCGAGTTTCTCCCAACATCGGAAAAATAAATCCCATTTAAGGTAGGAATATCTATGTACATTTTAAGAGAAGAGGCTTGACGCTGCAGATTTTGAACACCTCATTCAAAGTACTTGGCTGCCTCAGCTGCCACTGACATCACCACTCAGCAAGTCCCAGGAAATGTTCCATCACTTACTGTTGTAACACCCAAGGAAAATTCTTCATATTTATGGTAGTGAGCAAATGTTTCCTCAGTTTGATTTGTATCTCTGTATCTGCACTGAGATTTCAGAGGCTGAGTTACAGAGCAAGTAAGCTGTGTACCTCAGCTTTTCACTGAGTGCAGGTAATATGCATTCAGGAGCAACCTTGGGATTTTGGTTGCTGATTTTGACACAGATGATGTCCTGGGAAGCACTGGAAGCAGTTGACATCTGAATGTAAGAGTGGGTTTTATTCCTGAACTGTGTTGTCAAAACAAGATACTTTAACAAAATCCAGTGCCATATTGTTACATCATCTCTCCAAATTCTGTAACATGCACTTCAACACTGTATTAAAAAGGGAAAAACCCCAGATTTCTAGTATTGCAGTCTCTATCTGGAATCAATGTGAATCAGTAGGCTTTCAAGCTGTTTGGCTCTTGCTGGAACCTAAGTGAGATCACAAGTCAAATGAATGTGATGTCCAGCTAATTCCAGATCTGAGTACACGTCTCTCTAAATCACAGGAATGCTAATCAACTGGGTGTTGTTTGGCAATGAGCTTTCCAGTGTGCTTGCAAGTTGGACAGTGAATTGCTCTGACAACTCAGCTGCATTGAAGAACTGCAGTATAGGGACAGTTATATGCTGCAATCCTAATTCTTGCTGTCTTCTTTTTTGTTGTCGTTCTAATGTTCAAGCCGCTCAAATTTTTGGTTGGAGATTGTTTAATGAATTTCTGCCATAGACAAAATGTCACTTGGGAGTACAAGAATATTTGCCTTAATTAACACTAGAAAATTTTCAAGTAAACTGAGGCCAATTGTTGAAAATTTGTTTTGGCACGGTCCCTTGTGAAACAGATAATCACCAGATGCTTAAACCTACCATTTTTTATGTTTGGGATGCTTTTTGATACTTTTTTGTTTTAGTTGTCTGAATATGCATTTCAAAGGAATGAGCTTATGTGTGTCCAATTCTCTCTTAAAAGTTGTTCCATGCAGAGCAGAGGCTGCAGAGAGCACAGCTCCAGCTGAGAGAGATGCATCATGCAGTAGCGGATTCAAAACCTGAAAGTAAGCAGTAATCTTTAAAGGCTGGGGGTTTGGACTTCTCTGTTAGAAATTAAATCAAAACTGGATGGCTGTCAGTAATATGATAGTGCCAAAAAGCATAAAGGAACTTTATAGAATCTAAAGAAAGAAATAACTTGTGTTCTAAAGGCAAGTGCTGGAGATCCGAAGACTGAATGTGCCTTGCCACAAAAACCAGGGAGACAATCTCAAGGGAAGATATTATCAGTCATATTCTTGAGGTCCACTTTTTTAAAATCTTAAATCAGTTAAATACTGAATACTGACCATGACGCTCTGCAAGAAAAAAACAGTTGGAACTACAAAGGGTTAGAAAAAGCAGAAACTTCATACTAGATCAGAACTTTGTCTTTTCTAAGGTTTTATGCCTTTTGTATTTGCCAAAATGTATCTGGCAGCTCTACAAGAAAACTGGGAGTCAATTTAGAGTTCAGTTTGTCCCTTGCACTTGGTTATTAATAACACATCACAGGACTGATAGAGATTTTTTGTGCTGCTCATGCAGGCATTGGTGTTGATTTATAGGGAAATACTTTACTATATGTAAAGTAGTGTGAAGTTACAAGACTGAGGATGGTCCTTTTCGCAGGGCTTTTGCAGTCGCATTCTAAGTTGCTGTGGTAAAAAAGTGTCATAGAATGATTTTTATTATATGTATAAATTACTTCCAAAACGGTAGAATATGATTATTTATCGATTTAAACTTAAGAAAATAAGTCACTGTCCTACTCTTTCAATATATATTTAATATTCCGTTTGCATCACATAACTGCTTTGGCAGCTCTTTTGAGTTGGAGAACTTTTTTCAGTCACCACTGCATTGCGTTGTTATTACTACGTAATTTTACTTTAATTTTTTTAATGATGCTCATCGGCCACTGAACCACAAAAGGAACTAAAAGAGTATCTGAACTATGTATTTTACCCAAAGGGACCTGTAGTGGATTTTATAACTGCTCAGTTTTCACAGTAGCTATCAGAAAGTTTATACTGCAAAGCTGTGTCAACATTTCTATTTCAGTTCCTGGGTTTCTTTAAGGCCAATGGAAACTTGATGGGTTCAGTTCACAGAAGTAAAGGTAACAGTAAAAAGCACTAAGTCATTTAGTCATTGAGATGAAAATAAAGATAAGTCAACATATTTAATTTCCTTATCTTCAGTCCTGCTAGGAGGGAAAAAAAAGTGTTTAGATGTTCCAAAGGAAAACTTGGAGTCATTACTTAAAAAAATCTTGTGCTGAAATTTTGCCCAAACAAAGACTTCAGGCCTTAGCTTTGTGATTGCTTTCCCCCATAGGAGTTACAAAGACACTGCCTGTAGTAGCAGTTACAGAATGCCAACTGTGTTTTTTAAATAATTGAAATTAGGTGACCACAGTACACTGAATAGAAATCCATTTATTTTAAAAGCTTTATTGGTCTACAGTTGGCGCAGTTTATTTTCTTTTAAAAATTCCCTCTGGCTGCAGTTTGGTACCTCAGCTGCCTACTCGTATCAGCATAGCTTGTGTGCTGACAATTCAGCGGCTGATTGAGAGGTGTGGATTTTCACTGGAAGTTAGGTACTTTTTTTAAATTATATTCTTGCATTTTTAATACTTCAGGTGGTTTTGCTTCCAAAGCAAGATAAAATGATAGAAGTTGTCAGTAATGAGTAGGAGCTTTGCTTTACTTTATCTTATAATTAATTTAGGATGAAGTACTTTGAAAAATGTAACGTAGCTCTTTAAGGAATGGGACTAGCATGTATTCTTGAGTGTCGTTAACGTGCAATTAGTATCAGCCTGCTTTAGCTGTGCCAGGAAAATACAGCTTATGGTTAGTAGGTTTCGAAGACTTTGTATCATGAAAACCAGTTGATTGTTAGGAGCTGTTTTGTAGACTAGAATTGGTCGTGCTGGTTTCCACAGTGCGCTCCTTCCTTGCTACCTGCAGTGCTACTCAGTACCTTGTTTAACTACAGAGAGGCAGCTGCTGCTGGTAGCACTAAGTAACATGAATTTGCAGTTTCTGAGTTTGTTTTGGTGCTGTTCTGGATATGAATAGTATTTCTGTTTACACTGACCATGAGTTTGAATACCCTAGCTCATGCTTTCTCAGCAGGATTGCCATCTTTTTGTTGTGAGTATGTCTGCTGGCACAAACACAAATTGTTGACGCCAAGAAGTGAACTGAATTACTGACATTCTTGATCTCTGTCCATTTTACAGAACTTTATTGTTCACTTTATTGGCAGAAATCTGAAGAAGTGGATGACTAGCTTGAAAATATTGATTAAAATAATGTACTGAGGTGATTGTTGTTGATAAACAGTAAGATGTGTAGTTTATGTTGTTCATTAAGTTAATATGTAGGAATAGATTTAGAGCGCTGAGAACATCAGAGGTACCGATCAAAGAGGAATTGCTTTGTACAGATGTCTATTTTAGGTCATTCTGAACACTTGATAAAAATAGAAATTTAGGATGCTATTATTTAAATATCCCATTTGAATGAAAACTTTAACATTTTTGTTTTCTGCGGAACTCTCTTCCCCTAAAATTCCAACTTTAAATGATCTCCGCCAACACTGCAGACCACATTACGATTACAGTTACAGGTGTATTTGGTGAAGGAGAGTGGCTTAGGTGGAACCGTATTGCCATCTTTAAATTACTTTATCTATTATGAAGTCACTGTCAGTAGATGCAAGGTCAGGAGTAAAGCACTTTAAAGCCAACTTGATATCTTTGAGGATACAAGTCTGGTTGGTGAGATTAATAGCATTGCTATGGTTGGCTTCTGTAAGACCACTGACTCTTAACTTGCACCCCATTTTGAAGAACAAACAAGGCAGCAAAAATTCAACTTGACCTATGTTAAAAGGATTAAAAGGAGTTATTGAAAGTTTTAGAAAGGAAATTAATAAAGGAATCATCACTGAGTGGATGTGTTTCTGATCAGGACATGCAGAAATCAGTGTTGCACTTTTTTGTTTAGTATTCACATCAGGTGCCTGAAAGAAAACAGGAAATGATCGCTGAGGAAATGGTCAGGTGAAATAAAAATTGGGGAAATGACTGAATAATGCCAAGAGTAGACTGCTGATTCAAAGGGACCTTAATCACTGAGGAAGCCAAGTCTGTGTCAGCAGTATGTATTTTAATGAATTGCCAAATGCCACAGTATTTCTCTAGGAATAATGTGTGTGCAATGTGGGACTCTTTCCTAAGTGACTCTGGAAAAGACTCATGGGTCATGGTGTAGAAATGGTAGAACTGAAGCTCCCAGTGTCAAAGATTTGGTGCTTTCCGTGCTTTTATTTATGGAAGAACTTGGAATAGGAACGTTATATTACCTCTCTTCTTAGCTCTGGTACGTCCTTGGCTGCAACTCTGTGTCCTTTGACCAGAATTCAAGAAAAATGTTGAAAGGTTAAAGAGGTTTCAGAGTGCATCAATAATAATTATGAACATGGAAAGGATAACTTACAATGGCAAATTCAGGGAGCTTCTTAGTTTTTTTAGGAGTTACCAAAGGGATGATTTGGTCACCAGCTGTCAGTGTTTGCATGTCCCAGGCCTCTGTTTAATACAACAGAACTGGAAGTGGCATCGTTGGAAGCTGTGGAGGGAGTCATTTCAGTACTTTCTTAGCGAGGATGAGTGCAGAAAGGGAAGTGAAGGTTTGATGGAAGAGAGAGCCATGTGGAAGTCTTGGTTTTGGTATGGGATGCACAGTTGGTAGCCTGTAGAGGGAAAAGGAGTAGGAGAAGAAGTTAGAATCTGAGCGCAAGGTGAATCCAGTTTTAGATCCATTAACAGCATTATGCAGAGAAACTTGCCTCTTTCCTACATGACTGAGCAAGCACTAAGAAACTCTTTTCTCCCATCCCTCACTTTGTAATAATAATAATGAAAAAACTTGAGTGGAAAACATGAGGAGTTGCTCTTAATAGCTCTCCACATGTAAATACGTGGTTGGCAGAACCTTGCTAAAATAACCTTAGGGCACAGAGCCAGACTTTCTGTGCAGCTTACGTATGTGGATTTTGTAATCATAAGTGAATGTTAAAACATTAAAAACATAATTTATATGTGTAATGGAAAGGTTTAAAGTATGCTTGCTTTTCTTTCCTCTAGCCTGGGAATTCGAAAAAAGAATGTTTTTCACTGAAAAAGAAACTTAAAACAAGAGCTGCCCTGTGTTTAGTTTTTTAAGGTTCTGCTAAGCAGCAAAAGTAGCTCTTAGGTATTACTCCTTCATGTGTTGGATTGTATAGGAAGAAAACTAGATCCAAAGCATTTAGGAAAGAAACTACATTAGCCATGAGGGATGTTGGCATCATCACGTCTTTCCCCATCAAGATGTCGAGTTGTAACTCGCTTCGTTGCTTTTTGCACCATCGTGAATAAGCTCGATGCAGACCCAGGTGGTGTTTAGAACAAGTCGGTAGTAGCTCTGAGGTTATCTGAGAAAGAAATCTAGAGGGGATCAAGGTTATACCCTGTGAAGCCAATGAGTCCCTGCTCTTATGAAAGCAATTGTTCAGGTGTGGTTATTTCCTGAGTTTAGTGTCATATCTACGATTTGGACATGTACATTTTTATAAGAAAACTGAAGTAGTTCAAGAAATAAAGTATAGGCTATATATGCAGCTTTTTTTTTTTTGCTACTAAGAGGAAAACAACAAATTATTTTGATAAAATATCAATATTTAGTATCAGAATAATTTAATTGCTATCACTTTGATTTCCACACAAGGATCTTGGTTATAAATATCAAACTGGGAGTTGTGTTCCTAGTCAGTTCTGAGGTGACAATTCAGCTCCCAGTATGTGTGGGAAGCTTTGCTGCATTTGCAGAGGTGATACATTAAAAGGTGGTCCCTCCTGCCCAGCTCTGCCGTGGGCTGAGGAAGACTGGAACTGAGCCCTTCTGGAAGGAAGGAGTAGGAAATCTCCCTCAGTAGGTCCAGGTGTGCTTCTCGGGGCAGTGCTGCGGTGCCAGGTACATCACAGCTATCGCATGCGCAGAGAAACTGCGCTTACCCCTTCCTAAACCAGTATTGGTGCTGGTTGTTTTGCATGAGATAAATGACCTTTCCACGAAGGGGAAAAGCTCGTGTGGTAGTGTTGCTTTTCATAAACAAACTCAACGGCTGGAAAAGAGGAATTCCCACTCATTTGCAGTTTGTGTTGGCTTGGCTTTGTTAGCAGCACTGCTTTCCCTAGGGGCTGCTTGCTTGCTTCTGGTTCTGGAGGCTTTCTCAAGAGCTAAGAATGGCTGCTCTCCTCTCTGGCACCTCCACCAAGCAGCTTTCCTTCCAGTCAGAGCTGGGAGCAGGGGGTGAGGAGAATCTATGAGTAGTGTTTCTAGAGGTAAACAGAGGCAGAATAACGGGGGGCCCTTTTCCTAGGATTGTATTTCACTTTGTTCTGACCTTCTCCTTTGGTCCTTTTTGTTTTTCTTGGCATTTCCTAGCAATTACATATTCTTCCAAACAGGGAGATTCCCCCCAAGAAACCCCAACTCCAGCAAGTAGGATACTTACCTTTCAGTCACCTAGATCATGAAAAATAGTCTGAAATACCCATTCCCACTCTCATCTGCCACAGACCTTCCAAATCTCACTCTGAGCCTTGGCACAGATGTCCCAGAGGAGTAATTGCACTAAACTGCCTGTTGTCAGCACAAGACAGTGTAATGTAATTTAAATAGCTGCTTTATTTTATTCTGTCTCGTTTTTCTAGCTGTGTATCGTTCTTATCTGAATGTGTTTGTGTTTATTTATAAATTATCTGTTAAGGAGGTTTAATTACTCTACCTAGCAAGAGCTAAGTCATCCATCATACCATAAGCATGGCAACATGCAGTGTGCATCAGGCTTGTGCAGAGCAAAACTTCTGAATGTGGCTGCTTTTCTCACCAGAGGTTTTACATTACTCATCAATTCCTTCTTGTTATTTTTCTGGTTTATTATTATTTTCAGCATTCTCAGTCTAATCACAGTCCTAAGAATAAATGATTGTTCTCACAAGAAAAAACACAGTCCTCTGTTTACAGAGAGACAATTTATAAGTGTTCCAGCAATGAAAAAGACCCTTAAAGTAGACATACATTAAATTCTGCTTATTTTAAGGCATTTTTAGATGCCAGATTAGACTAAAGTTTTATTTTAAGGGAGAATTGCCAAGGATATAATGAACCTGTGCATAAGCTAGACCAAATTATGGTCTTTGCACAGAGAAAGAATTCACACAGAGACAGTTTCTGTCTGCTGATGAAGTAACTCACCTGAAACAACAACCTGTGCAACCTGAGAGCAGGACCAGCCCCAGGGCGCTTGTTCCACTGCTCCACGGCTTCAGCCCGGCAAGTGCCAAGGGTTACAGCTTCCAAAAAGCTCTCCGCAAGTCAGCATAGCTGTGACGTGCTTTGCTGCTCCTCGTCTTGTGTGCACAGAGGCAACCAAAGCCTAGCTCTTAACTTTTTAAATTTTGGAAGAATGTAATTCACAACACAGAAAAGCGACATGGAATCCAATATCTTGATGTATGTAAGACACACACAGGGTTTATGGCTCTCTAGATCAGTGCTGCCTGTTGGATTTTGCATCTGGTTCAGCTAAAGTGCATGTAAGAAGGGTTTTACTTGTATATTGATGAAAAGAATCTGTCACAGAGTTAGTAGTTGTATATTAGATATACAGATGGATAGTAATACGTATGATGCTGGTAACATGCAGATTAAACATCTAAATCAAGTAACGTCCTGTTTCTTTAAGCGTTGAAAAGAAGACTCCAATGTTATACTGCTGTTATTGTAATGTGTGACTAAATAGCGTGTTGGTGAAATCAAAGTTAATTATCTGCTGCATTACTTTTATAGACACACTGTTTTCATTTGTTTTTAAGGTTTAATGAAGAAACTAGAAGAGGAGATAAATTTCAAATCATACCTAGTTACTGAAAAAATACCTAGAGAGCTGGAGAGGAAGAAAAAAACAGCATATTTCTTACAAAAGGTGGTTGCAGAGCCTGCTATGAGTCAATCTGACCTCAATGTGCTTGAAAACAAGGTAAGTTGACCAAGGTCACACTCAGTTTGTGTTCTGCACCATAATCTATGGCTCTTGTACACTGTAGTTTTCTTATCCCTGCTTTATATCCTTGAGAAACTGTTTAATTCCCAAAGGAACATCCGTTCAGTTGTGAAACAAAACAAGGTGTGTTAATCACTAAATGCAAATGCTCAGATAAGTTTAAAAAAACCCACAAACCAATCAAACAAACCTCAAATGAAACCTCAAACCCCAGCAATTTAGAAAACGGCGTCAGCAGTTCGCAAAGGCATGAGTGGAGACGTTAATTTTTAAAGGTTTGATTTTTCTTCAGATTTCACTTGTTGTAAACTCTCACTGACATCAAGAGAGTTTATACCAACGTATAGAGAGTGTTTATGGAGTGGTGAGCATCATTCTGAGTGATCGGTCTTCACATTGTGTCTTCATCAGTGTGCAATGGCTCAGAACTCCTTAGTCCTTGGAATAGATCTGTATCGTTTGTTTTAGACCAAAGGAATTTTGGGGATCAAACCTGTGATTTACCTTTTCAGGTTTTTTCTCTTATCAGTTGGTTTTTAGTATTCCCAGGATCTCCAACTCTGGCTTTGCTGTGAAAGGCAGATAGAAAATGAGGAAACAGAATTTGGAATAGATCAGAGAATGACTTCCTGTGGGCGAGGGCTGCCATCCACCATTCTCGTGTCTTGAAGCAGGAGAGGATCAGAACTCCACCAACATCACAGTAGCTGGTGTGTGCACACACAGAACGTGCCAGAGTAAGGCAATAAGAACTACCCACAGGATTTTTGGATGAGACAAGAGTCGGCAGTCAGGTGTCAGTAAGAATATGTGCTCTTTTAGGGCTAAGACTATTTACAAAAGTAAAATCAGGGACAGCCTAATGCCATTTTGGATTCTGATTGTTGTACTTTTAAGAACATTCGTAACCGGTAGCTTAGGTCTGATTTCTTAAACTAGCTCTGCGATTCAGCCCCTGCTTTCCTGGTTTATTTCTTCTAATGAAAATAATAGTGTTAGTGGTTGCAGTTAGTGCCTTTAGGCATCCTTGAAGCCCTGTTTTGCACCTTTCTTTTCCAAGAGTCTTGCTGGGTTCTTGGCAACATTTAAAAAAAAACTTCAAGGTTTTGGGTGTTTTTTCCTCTTTCTCCATGAGGTAACCTTCTAATTTGTTATATTTTGGAAGTGTATTCTTCTTAAAAGATAATAAAACCATGCCATATACTTGGCTGCTATCACAGCATGGCCTTAGACAACTTTTTTTTTTTAAATCAACCTTTTATTATCTCAGTGTCTTTAAAAGGAGGTAAATTGCACTGAGCATGCTACTATCATGCATTTCATAACATATAAAGCAAATCTATTCACAGAAGGGAATTCTTATGCTGTCTTTAAATTCAGGCCTGTTCTACCACTAACAGCTTTTGTAAAGGAGTAGAATTTACGGGAGATTTTTTTTTCCAGGTGTTGGAGTATTTTTAGTCCTTTTGAGCACTTTATTTGAGATACTTCACTGCCAAAGTACGCTGATGTTGCTGATAGGAATGTCAGAGTCATGCCCATGTACCTGCGGTACGTTTTGTCTTCACTGGATTTCAGCACAGGTTTACACTGCTGCTTATCAGCACCCAGCTCGCTAGCAGAGAATTAGAGGAAGGTTGCTGGGCTGTGGTTTCCAGGGCTGATGAGAGTCCCAGGGTAGCACTGAGTCAGGACTGGGAATGCTGCCGTCAGTGCCCTGGTGTAGCTGTGTCTGGGTTTCCAGAGGCAGGAGGCTCTGAAGCTTCAGCTACAATGAAGGTCAAAAATCAGACCATGGACACACGCGTGCATTTTGCGGCAGTAGAAAGAAGGTACCACAGAGCTGGAACGTGATGGGCTGTGACTTTTCAAAGAATTGATGAAATCAGCTATCCCTTGGTCTTTATTTGCTTCCCTTTAAGCTTCTGATGAATGACTGAGTGAGAAGGAATTTTAGTTAATGTTGGTAAAAGTACATTTTTCATGTGTGTGACAACATCAAGTCTTTTATCTGTCTGTACCGATTCACATGCATTTTCTCTCCATGTACACCAGTTTACTTCATTTTCAGGGCCAACGCCGTGCTTCTGCCTTATCATAAAGGCACAGAACTGGAAATCCAAACCCACAGCCTCTTCCTGGCCAATACCTAATGACTCATGGAGTTTTTTGGGTTTGTTTCTCTGTTTTAAAAATGGAACTGGCTGGATTGTAAATCTCATTTGCAAAGCATTTAGTTCTTGAAGGAGACAAAGAAATAAAGCTTCATTTCCTTATTTTTCTACTGTCTTGCAGATAAATGAAGTAAATGCACAAATAAATCAGCTTATTGAGAAAAGAATGATGAAGTGTGAGCCAATTGATAGTAAACTTTCCATGTATCGCCAACAGGTAAGAAGGAACAAAACATTCTTTTAAGCAGAAGCAGTAGAGCAATTTCAGTCACTGATTGTTTTACATCTTGACTTTTTTCTTTAATTTATTTAGCATGAATCGGTAGAAATACATAATAATGGAGGCTAAAAAGAGAATAAATAGCTGTTGGATATATGTTGTTTAGGGCTGAGTCAAGCAATTGCTTTCAGCTGTCAGTGAGTGTGGTGACTGCTGTCCTGAGGCTGCTGGTGCTGCGCCTCAGCTGTACCATGGGGATTCTGGAGGGATGGTTTCGGAGGAGCTGTTTTGGTGAAGCTCCAGCTGTGGCCAGGTTCTGGAAGGGCAGCGCGAGGGCTGAGTGCTGCTGGCAGCGCTGCCTGCAGCCCTGCTTTCAGTTGGGTCCCTTGCTTGTGTTTGACCACACGCTGGTTTTCCCATTATGCCTATTAAGAAGGTATTCTTTGATGATTTTCATCCTGAAGCTATAAAATAATATTTCTGTAAAATAGGCTGTCTGGTCCAGTCTTAGTAAATTCACAAGTTATAAAAAGGATTTATGAACTCTGAGATTTTCAGAGCTTATGCAGAAATGCAAGTGGTTTCTTTTCCAGGCAACCTGTACCGCTGCTAATTTTATTGAAGATTTTCATGGTGGTGCTTATGGTGATGGTTTAAAAAATGAAAAGGCTCAAGTAAAATGTATCGGTGGGAGGAAAAAAATTGCGATAAATTGTATACTGCAGTTCAATCCCATATGCAATATGAAATGCACCATTTTGTTTTGTAAGAGATGCTCTTCTTCTCGACAGAAAATCCTGCTCCCTAACGTGCTGGTACTGAGACCAAGGGCTTGTGCTCAGTTCTGGTCAGCGCAGGAAGCGCTGCGGGAGCCGAAGCCTGTGGTGGTCTTTGCTCTGTTCTGCTGGGGACCGGCGTCTGGTTCACAACATAATGGTGCACATTGTAGCGCAGTTTGTCACTGCAGGTGTCTCGTGGAGCAGAGAGCTGAGATGCTACCCCAGCACAATTCTGGTAGATATGTTTTTAGAAATAAAGCCGGTTCTTTTAACCCAGTGTGAGAAAGCTGGTCTGCATTTTGCTTCATTTTTCATAAGTTTTCCTTTTCATATGAAGCCAGCCATGCCTCCAAATTCACACGCATGCTGCTAAATTAATGTGTTGTGTTGTTTTAAATTGTATACTTCGGTAAGTTACAAATGGTTGTTTTTTTCCTGAACTAATGTATTCTTATGTTCCCAAATCTGTTAGCTTCTGGTCAAATGGTAGGTACTCTGAAATATTCTGCCATGTAGAAAAGATTGGTTTTTAAATGCTATATCTTCCAGACTCAAAAAAAAAAGAGAGAATAATCTCTAATCTACACTATTTCTGTACTGTATTGCTTTATTCATCGTCTTCTAGCTATTTGCCAAGATTTAGTGGCTCGGTTCTGCTGTTAGTATAACATATTTCTGTAGGTTGGAGTAGGTTGGAGTTATAAAAATCTGTATTATGACATTTGTGAAATCTTGGATAACTTTCCAGTGAAGCCATGTTGCTGTATCTTACATATGTACAAAAAGGGACTGAGTAGAAGAAATGGAGCAGCTAAAATGCCTACCTTTTTCTTCAATGAAGAGGAAAAACTGAAGTGAAGAAATGTAAATCTGAAATGTAAAATATAGCAGGATGAATCTGGGAAAAAAGAGGATGCTTGAAATCTCGGCTGCACTGAAAAAAGTTGGGAGTCTGCAATCGGCTTGAGCAAAGTTGCGGTTTAACCCTCTGTGTATAATGCGTAATCGATGCTTTTTTCTTTGCAGCGAGACATGCTCACATTTCTTAATGAAAATCAGGTTTTGGCAGTTAAAATGTGGTTTTGGTGGTGCAGTGCCTGAAATCTAATGGATTACATTTTACTAATGATTAAACAAGGCGGTTTTTACTTTATTTGCCCATATGCATTTTTAATGGTCATGCAGGCATCTATAATTTCCCGGAAGAAGGAAGCCATGGCAGAGCAGCTGCAGGCTGCGAGGGAGGAGATGGCCAGCATGGAGAGGCAGATGCTGCAGAAGAGCAGCCAGGTCCAGGAGCTGGGGGGCTCGGAAGCTCTCAAAGAGGATGAGGTAGGCAGAGTAACAGTGGATGTAAGGAACAGGAGGTTTGTAAGAGATGGATCCATTTTTGTAAACTCACAATTTCCTTGTAATTTTACATTGCAAGAGCTGTTTCTACGGTGTCTTACCCATTTTTATAGGATGTTGTCAAACTACATGGCCTCAGCATTGCAGCGCATTGCCCTCTGCTTTTCTTACTGCACATCCCAGACCCTCCTGGAGTTTATCTGCAACAAGGACTTTGACAAGCACAATCAGCATAGCTCACGCAAAGTTATACTTGAAGCTGTACTTAGCAAAGCAGCTTTTTCTGCTTCAAAAGTTTGCGAAAAATAAGGCTGCTGTGCAGCTGGGTGGTGGTTTGTCAGCAAAATCAATTGACTTTTCTTAAGACAGTAATTTTTCTCAGTTTGGAAGAAGTCTGCTAAGTGTACTTACAGGCAGGATCACTAAAGCAAAGAGTATTTTAGCTGCATCATTCTCTGACTTAATATATCTTTTTAATTCCCTCCATAATGTGCTAATTTGCACTGCCATCATTTATCAAGAGTAACACACTTCGCTTTCCTTTTCTTTGTCTGTTGCTGTGCTTTTCTTACATACTGCTCAATACAGGGAACGCCCTTTGTAGAAGGAACTCCCTTCCTGATCCCATAGGACAAGCCTGCTCCACAGAAATCAGTTTTTTCTTTTAAAGGAGTTTTAAAGAGTGAATCAGGATGGAAACGTGTACGTGTACTCTCATGCATGAAGGCTTCCTGTATGGTATGGAATCCATGCATATTTCACTTGTGCCATCTTGCCTTTCTCCCCTTCTTTGAATCAAGATGAAAACCACAGGTGAAAGCAGAGGCACAGAGCCTGTGAAGGAGTCATATGTTGCTTTTTCTTACGGTAACACACTGCACACATTCCATAGGTAGCAACAGTAATGACCCCACTGCATTAGATTTCTCTACTACAAGATTTTCAACCCCAGTAGGCACGTTGCTAAAGTCTTTGACAACTTCTAAAGTAAAAATAAAACCAGAAAGCAGACAATCTGTGTTTCATGACATATGATGGGAAAGAAGTGTTTAATTAATCAACAAGAATGCATTACCAAGACAGTAACATATGTTTTACATTATCTGTAAATGCACTGTAAGGTAAGAAATAATTCATGTTGTGCCTGTTCTTGAGAAGGACAAAATATTCTGCTCCATAGTAATTCAAGGAGAGGAGGGTAGGAGGGAAACATGGTTACAGAACCTCGTCAGAGGCTTCATAATGAAAAATGCAAGTTAGTTGTCTTGGCTCAGGACAGAAAAAAAGACCAGACCTGCTTTGAACATCACCTGCATTCCTTTTGTTAAAATACCTTCTGCTTTTGACTTTTTAAGTCTTTTCAAGACATCATTTTGAGGAGTGAATGATAAATGACTGAGCACTTTGAACAAAACTGTCAGCTTAAAATAAGAAGTGTTCGACTTTTCGTAAGAAGCATTTTCTCTTCTGTAAGATACTTTCTGCCCATTGGCCCAAGGCAGCCTGTATTATACAGTCTGTGTGCTGTTCGTGTTTACTGCTTCATTAGGGGCTGTAGTGACACTCACAGGCACCAGTGTAAGGCAGTAAGAGAGTGTTTCCTATGGGTCAAAACTAGGAAAGGGTTGGAATTCTTGATGATTTTGATAGCTTCTTTTTCAAAGGTCAGAGTTTCCTATCTGAAAATGGAGATAGTGAGATTTAATTCTGTGATAAAATAGCAAACTGCTACACAGGACCTTGGTACTATAGCCTTTGTATCTCCTCAAAGTACATTGCAAACGCATATTAGAGAAACAGTGCTGCTTCAGAAACAGTGCTGCTTCAGAGGCTAGGGTGTGAGAAGACTGGCATTAAGGCAGTCTGCTCCGTCCAGGCATCCAGTGTTACCCTTGCAGTTCAAACCCTAGGTTTCCTGTAGCAGAGTCTCGAGCATCAGATCTTATATTTAAAAAAATATATATATATTCAAATAGTATAGCCAGGAAAAATCAGTAACTTAGCAAGTAATGCTAAGCAAACAGCATACAAAATCACACAATATTATGCTATAACTCTTGCATCCCAATGTTAAATTATTGACTCTAAGAGATTCATTCTAAATAAAACTTACTTCTTTCAGCTAAGTGATTGGTATTTCTTAACACAGGACTGATAGATGAGACCAATAAGTTGGCAAGGAAGAGGTGATGAAGCAGAAGTGAAGTGAACAGGGTATCTCTCATCTGTAAAAGTCTCGTTTATCACTCACCGTCAACCTTTTGCTCTACACTGGTTTCTGATAAGTTATGCTTTTAAATGTGTATTTTCTGGTTGAGCCAATATCGAGGGAAGTCTTGACTTATGCAGGACTTAAGCAGTAGTGGTGAGTCACTGCTGCAACACGTGTGTTCAGTGGGGACAGAAAAGGGTTGGACGTTGAGCCTTCGCTCTGCACTCTGACACGAGAGCTTCCTTGTGCTTTCCTGTTAGTCACACTCATTTCACATTTAGTTCCTCTATTTTCAAAAAAGGAAGAAAGAGGGATTTTTAACAAATAGTTTTGCTGTCTTTAAGTTTAAAGCAGGCTTTTAATCCTGCCACGTTTAACCGATTTAAGTGCTACGGTTAAATAAAAAAAATCTTTTTCTCCTATACCCAGTATTTCTCATCTTCTCTTTGTCTCACTTTGCTGTGTCCTCTTACATCATGGCACTCACAAGACTTGGCTTGTGCTCCCATACCACTATTTGGATCTCCAGTCAAAGTCCTCTTAGCGCTCTCTTCTCCAAAAGGTCAATCCTGGCTTATCTTTGTAGGTGCCAGTGCTCTGCTTTCTGCTGTAGTCATGAGAAGGAACGGTGCAGCATTCCAGTTGGTTGGAGAGGGTGTACAGATAGAGAGCAGAAACAGCAGGGAATCACCCATTCATTTACCTCAAGCACAGAAAGGTAGGGATAAATTGTCTGCTTCAGGGATTATGAAATCTTTTTAAGTGCTTCAGACGAAGAACAATGAGCATGGGGCAAAGCTGGCAGCTCCTAGCTGCAGCTGTCAGATCCCAAAAATTAGGGAATCAAATGTTGCCACTTGGAAGGTTGGATGGTTCAATTACAAGTGATCCTAGGTAAAGCGCTGGTATTTTTAGCTCTTTACACAGCACATTGTACTTTTCAGAGTTCACTGTAGGGCCCCGAGAACCTCGACTTTCCCAGGGTATCAGAATAGAACAGGGTCACGACTGCGCTCACGGCTTAGTTGAAACGAGTACGTTTTTGAGAATGCGGCGTAGAAAGTCCTATCAGTTTGGTAACACACGTGCGAGGTTTGCATCTCTATTTACGTAAGGAATGTAGGTTTTTTTCAAACAAGAGCTCATCCATGCCTACCTGCCCCTGGTAAGACAATATAAAGAATGTCTGTTTGCAAACAGAGAAAACAGAGTCTTAGGCCATAGATCTTGTCACTTTTCCTCTATAACTCTTGGGTCCACCCAAGTCCACCAGAAGCACTTACTGAGGTCCAGACTGGGTGGATGGATTTTCAAGAGAGCGGCTGTAAAGGAGCTCACAACTCCAACATGAGATGGTTTCAGCCAGCACCCAGGACACATCACCCTGTGGGTCTGCCGTTCTCTTAACTTGTCACTAGGTTCCAGGTGCAGGTGTTGCCCCTTCAGAGGCTCCTGACACAGGAGGAGAGCGGCCAGAGTCCAGCTGGGAGAACAAGAGCACAGATCTGTAGGTTCTCGCAGAAGCTTTTGCTGTCAGAAATGAACCCTCATTTAAGCCAAATGTATGCAGTGATTCAGACAAATGTGAGCTGCACTGAATGCTCTTTTAGCACCGACTGGCATGAGCAAATCCATTTTATTGATCTCTGCATTTTCAGTGATAACCGAAATGGATTTTCATTATAAATATTCCGATTGATCCAAATTATTAGTAATGGCTACTTTAACACTTTGTTCCTGACCAGAAGTGAGCACTCCTATGAGAGATGTCCTGCTTAATGCCACTGAAGAACTTTCCTGATTGATCTAAGGAGCAGGCTGTAGGATACTCTCATTGCAACAGAGTGAGGTAATCCCACTGGTGTCTTTTAGAAGTTTGTCTTTCTGTGTACCAGTTATTGACAATACCCAACAGTGGCTCTACTAGCTTAAGTTTAGAGTCTCTTCGAACAACATACAGTAAATCTGTCATGATCAAGAACTTTTCCCAACTGAATTGTAGTACTTTGGATGGTCTGTACCCTGTTAATTGGTGTAGTCAGAATATGAAAACATCTCTTCCTCAGTTCTTAATAAAACAGAGGTAGTCAGCTAAGATTTTCCGCAATTAATTGTGTTTATGCAAATAATTTCACTAACAAAACTTTATTTGGAACCTTGTTTAGATTATGCATTTCAGAAAGGAATTCTTTTTTAACAATACTTTTCTGTAGTATTTTATGGAGAGTAGTTGTACTGCTATAACACCATCAATTTGATACAGTAATCCAGAAAACACTGTTTTAAAGGTTTGACTTGAAAGTGAGGGATTAATCTGGGATTTGTTCTTTTCTGAAAACAAGCTTGTCCATTTTCTCCTGTAATAATCTTGGAAAAAGAACCTTGTGAAAACTTCACATGGGGCAAGTGTTAGTTTTAAGGAGACAAAGTGATGGGCTATAGGGAAAGCACAGGACCGAGCTTTGATCCCAGCCCAGCAGTCACCGCAGCCTGTGGTCAAGGTGCTGCTGTTCTTCCTGGAGGGGAACTGCCTGGCTCTGCTTGGTCCTGGAGAAGCTGTTTTAATGCCGTGATTCAATTTTGTCGTGTTCAGAATTATTGTAATACTTAACTAGTTCACAAAAGTGTGGTGAGTCTTGATCTGGTGATGGCAATCTCCTTCAGATTGTAACAAGAGGAGAAGCGTGAAGTACTGGCATTGCTGGGTTCTTCCAATATGAATGATCGTTATACAGGACCTCTGCGCAGGGATGCTGGATACCTGCATGCTGCAGGACATTGAATGAGAGATCAGAGTCCTGCCTTCATTCACTCTATTTCATAGCCTAGATTCCACGCTTGTTCTGTTACAGTCACCCATAAAAATAGCTGAGTGAAAAGACAGAATTTTTCTTTGCTGACATTGGGAGAGTTTTTATATCTCAGGGGGCTCCGACTCGGGCAGCAAACATGGGGCTCCAGGCTTGTTTGCTTCAACTGCTCGCTCAGTGCCAGCGCTTGGTTCATGTCCAGTCGTTTAATCTTTGCAGCTTAAATAACTGTTTGTGCTCAGTTGCTGGAGACAGAAGAGCTCCCTGGTGGACAGGGCCTTGATGGGGCCATCGCTGCAGGCGCTGCCGATCCATGGGAATTCTCTGGGCTGAGCCTGCTGAGTTCCTGTGCAGGGAGAGCTGACCTGGGCTATGGGAAAATGCTGCTGCTCAGAACTGTCTTCCTTTTGGGTAGATAATTGAAAGTCATATGGCGAGACAATGTTATTCTTCTGTGAACTACTTGGAAGACCTTTAACCACAGAAAGATACAATGTTTCATAGCATTTTAGGGGCTTGAATTTCCATCCACATATAGAAGGGAGCATGAGATGTATGCTTACACAAATGAAAGCACTGGCATTTTACAAGAAGCTTATTTATAATTTTTGGAAACCTGTGGAATGATTCTTAGCTTTTAGGCTGAAGAAACCAAATTTTGCCTTAAGATCCCCACACGCTGCTGATGTAAGTGGAGTCAAATTTGATAACCCCAGCTCCGAACTGGGCCCTGAGTCTCCAAAAGGCTTCAGTCAGTCAGATTTTGAGGGGCAAATCTGTGCTGCATGTGCAGTAGATGAAGTCTTATGAAAATTCTGCCAAACTGTTGATTGATTTTCTACAAATGTTATCATTTTACTATGTGTTTGTATCTTGGTTTATCTTGTTTGCTGCAATAAAAGCTACATGAGGTTAAGCTGGCTTTTAAGAAGCCAGATATTGCTATGAAAGATAAACATCCATCTCCTAAAGTGAATAGGTTTTGTCAATGTGAGCACCTGGTAGTTCATTTTGGATGAAATTTTTATTGTATAGTCCTAACTTAATCAACTATTAATAGAACATTGGTGGAATCAGTTCTTTAATCAACAAGATCCTTTGGTTTCCATTGTAAAACACATTATGCTTTGAATATTGAATATGCAAATACTCTACCTCCCACTCGAGCTATTTTCAAGACCTTAAAAGTAGCTATAGAAGTGAAGAATTTGCTTTTCATCCTGGGATAAACTGACGGAAAGTCGTTCAGATCTGATAGCTGCATGTGGCCACATATGAAGTAAGTGTAATGCTTTGCATCATTCTTGACTGTATTGCACTGGTCAAATGGAATATCTCTGGAGTGACTCCACCACGGCAGATGACTGTGCTTCCTTTGGCCTTTCCTTACTTAGCTGGAGAGATTACTTTTATACTTTTATAATCTCTGAAATCACAGAAAACTTGGGATTGTCTAAGCAATTTAAAAAAACAAACAAGTCTTTTGTATTAGCTAAGAGGATATACTTGAATTTGCTATGAAAAATACTTAGTTCTGGTAACGCTCTATGATGTGTGCCCATGATATAACTGCGCTGCGCAGGGCTGTGGCTGGGGTGACCTTGGCTGTCCCTGTCCTAGGTGTGCGCACGAGGTACAATGGTTTTCCAGAGCCACGCTCAGCCCAATCTACATAGAGCACATTGAGTAATTGGTGGGTTTGTTCTTTCACCAAAAACGTTTATAGCTTTTGGCTTTAAAAATAGTTCTGGAGCACAGAGAGAGAGAAGCAGCTTTGGCCTAGATATCGCACAGGATGGCAGATGAGCAGAGTTGATTTCACTGTGGGCATCGTGCCCAGGACACTTTTTATAGCACACACAGTTACTCTGGGGGCTCTGAGGCAGTGGGCACATTGGGGTTTGGATTTATTCTTCAGAAGGGAGAGGCATCATTTTGCAAAAAGAAAAATGAATGTAAATGTCAGCATCGAAGTTCCTCGAGGTTTGAGTTTTAAACCTGTATCAGTGGTAGTGGGACGCCTGTTCTGTCCTTGGGGCTGCCTGTTTTGTGCTCGCTCTGCACATGCTGAACCCCTTCTTGTCAAGGAACGCTCTGAAGCCTCTTCTTACATCATTTACTCTTATAAATTATATTTGCTTCCCCTCTCTGGATCTGAATGCAGTTTTGAGCTGTGGCTGGCATTTGCCGCACAGCTTTCACGTAAAATGTAAGAATAAGAGCTAAGTTTGTCTGACAGATGGAAAACAGTAAGGCAAAGAAAAATATGGCATGTTTGTTGCAACACCTGATATTTCACTTTACAAATTGAGCACACACAGGTTCAGATGTAAATTAGCTAAGGCTGTTGATCTGTAAGGATATGTATTATTTTGCTTAGTCTCTAATAAAGATATAAATTGTGCATTATTTTAGATTTTGAGTGAAATATATATTGTATTTCTCTGCTTCTATGCAAGGTCTCTGCTTTTCTTTTCCTGGTTTTAAAAACTCAGCCAGTGATGTCATTTGGGTCTGCAAGAGACAAGGAAAGAGATCAATTCATTTTAACTATTGAGAACTAGCATTTTTTTAAAGACAGTCTTTTCCCATGCCCTTTTCTCTTCCAGTTTTTCTGCACTTTCTCATCATGGTTCTTGGTCTGCAGAGCTCCTTGGGGCCATGCGCTGCTGATCTGCTGCTCCGTTACAAGTGCAAATGACTATTACGTGAACTTTTTCATTATCCGTGATTCTCACACCATTTTACAGAGTAATTGCTTTTCCAGCTATCAAATGGGGGTGAGCAGCGCTGAATGATCTCACTATTACAAATGAGCGAGCTGGGACAGAAAGCCATCGAGCTGGTTTTCTTCAGCTCACTCAGTGAACAAATGCAGAGCTGCAAATAAATAGACCCTGGGAATCCTGAATTCCAGTCCTCTGCTCTGAACACTTCATTTTAACATGCAGTGCAAACAGGACAATTATGTTTTACAGAGCAACAGGCTGTGATAAGGCCCCTTTTGGCTTTAAGTTAAATGGCGTTTCTGTTCTCTCCCATTCCAGATTAAACAGTATGTTAATAAGCTGCGGAGCAAGAACACAGTTTATAAAAAGAAGCGGCAGGAAATAGCAGAAATCACAGCTGAGTGCGGCATCCTCCAGAGGACAGAAGAGCTCCTGAGGCAGCGCCACGAGGCCATTCAGCAGCAGTTGGTAACAGCACTGGCTGCTCCATCCCCTCCCTTCCCCGATCACAGCTGCGTAACGGGTGGACGTTGTTGTGTTAAATCCTAGTGCACATCACCTCAGCTCTCCTGCTGGCGGTGGTGAAACAGCCATTGGGGTATAACATTCATTTTTGTCTGTCACTGTGCTAAGCTGCTGTACTCTTGTGTTCAGCAACTGTTTCTTAGAGGCAGTCAGGGCTGCTGTGCGGTTTCTTTTTGGACTGAGGGGCTTGACCCTGCTTTTTAAAGGCAATGGTAAATCTCCGGTAACTCCAGTTAGAGCAGGGCTGCATTCTTAAATTAGTTTTTGGTATCCACACATGTAGTAAGGGCTTTGAAAATTATCAACAGCCAGCAGGCTTCAAGCTACTGCTGCAAAATGTATAGGAAAAGTCTTTTAAAACAGAGCAGGCAGGAAGGAAACATTCTAACCCCAGAATATTTAGAAGAAAATATGTTTTGCAGCAAGCAAAAAATTTAAAACTGGATGAATGCTTTTTCTAAGCCACAACAGCAGGAGAAGGTTTTCTGCTATGCACAACTCAGCATTCAAGGAATATACACGCATCCCAAATGCAAAGAGATTCCCTTTTTAGTTCACAAAAATCTACTGCTGTAGTATTTTTTCCAGTACCACTGTTCTTGTTATCAGAATATGTTGGTTTTATTTACCTTATATCTGATTTGTTGTATGTACATATTTCACATTTTTAAATGAAAAAGTATTTGCCTTATTAAAAGAAGATCGGAAGTGTTATAATACATGGGATAGACTTCACAGAGTCACAGACTTTGGGAAGATAGATCGATGCAGCAGATAATGTCATGGTGTTTCAATAGGGCTTCCCTGTTTAATGAAAAATACAACCAGAACTGCTGGCTGGGTAGAAAGCAGCACCTCAGCGGTGGGATCAGAGCGTTTCCGCATGGCTGCTGTAGGTGCGTGGCTGTGTCTCTTCACTTAGGCAGTGTTTATCACCACAGATCACTAACGTGCGCCGCTCACCTTGCAGGGAAATCCCAGCAGAGACAAAGCCCTGCAAGTTTTGCTGTGCAGTGACTGTACGTGGTCAGCAGTATTTGCTCATTCAACTCTGACCTTTTCTAAACTACTCTGTGGTAAAACCACAGAGCTTTGACTTTATACCACCAGGTGCCTGTGCACACTTTTCCCCACAAAACCAGGTGTACTTTTTCTATCCCAGGCACAAGGCACTGTCAGACCACGCTGCTGTTAAAGGCTACAGACTGCTCCCATCATGGCAGCAGCTGCTGTTAGCAGAGACAAAGCTTTTCTTAAACATGTGCTTGTAAAGTGTTTTGAGGATAATGGAGTTCATAGATATATGGTGCTTTTAAGAATGAACGTTTTGCTTTTAAACAAATAGGGAATGCGTTAGTCGGATTACAGAAAACCCCTCCTTACCTGCTAATGAGCAAGCATTGCTAAAGACCCTTACCTCAATATGTATCAGTGTAAAGTTGGCGTAGTGTAATGCTAGAATTTGGTAAGATGGCATTAGTATTACTATAATGAACACAATACTTACTTTGGCTTGACAGTTGTTTAAAAAATAATTAGCTACATCTTCAGATGAAGCATCTGGATTTTACATCTTGAACTTGCTCAGAGCCTGACCTAAAGCCCACTTCACTTTGTGGAAACTTTCTGTTCATTTCACTGGGCACTGGATGACCAAAAAGTGCATTTACAGAAAGTTGTTGCTGTCTTACTGTACAGGTACTAGATCAGAAGTTAGGTTTTCTGGCAGCTAGACTATTACACCCTTTTAAAATAAATTGATTGCACTGCTTACCTTTTCCTCTCTCACAGTATTTTGGCTCTGTGAAGGAGCTTGCTGTGTTGCTTCATTAGTGGATTCCTATCCAGCATTTCTTTTTGTGTCTGCAGCAAGCTATTGAAGACAAGAAAGGCATTTCTGGCTATAGTTACACCCAGGAGGAGCTGGAGAGAGTATCTGCAGTGAAGAGTGAAATGGATGAAATGAAAGGCCAGACGCTGGACAACATGTCTGAAATGGTGAGTTTTGTCCTTTCCTCCCCTTCAGAAACACCAGGGATATCAAGTCTCGTTGTCTGTGGGTTTTGACTGTTTGTGATTTCAGAAGTGGTTTCATGTTTGCACATTATTTGAAAGATATAAATGGTTTGAATCTTTAACAGAATGTTTTTCTAAGTTGTTTGTAAATCACTGGAGTGAAGCATTTGTTAAAAAATACTTAATATGCCTAAAGAGCTAAATATCCTGTCTTGTTCCCTGTAGCCAAATTTTCAATTGTCCGTAGATCTGTCGTGTTTTAATTTAACTTCCCACGTGGCCATAGAAGCAAGACAGAACTTGAATTTCTAATTTGAAAATATTATAAAAGAGCAAAGAAGCAAAATAGCATTCTTTGAAATCATTAGGGCACCTTTAAAATAAAGCGGTATAATTAAAACAGAATGACTCTCAAATAGAAAGCTGGATCTAATTTGAAATTTCAGTCTTAAATATTTTAAAGCAACTCTGTTTTAGCATTTTCAGACTTTATAAAGCTGTGCAGGCAGGTTGGTTTGCTTGTTTTCCTAAGGGTTTCTGCCTTTCTCTCAGTCTGCTTCTACGCAACTCCTTCATTTCCCCTGCTCCTCAGGCTCTTTCTTGTTACTTTCCTAATTATATAAATGTACTATTAGTGTCATAGCGATAACGTGTGTATTATTTTGTCCCTCTGTCAGGTGAAAAAACTGAACACCATGGTGGCAGAGAAGAAGGCAAGCCTGGCTCCTGTTATAAAAGAACTGAGACAGCTGCGTCAAAAGTGCCAGGTCAGTGGAAACGCTTCTCTCCTTCTGAGTGAATCAAGTCAGAGCCACAAATAAGACAAATTTACAGCTCTGTGATGCTGTACAAGGACATGATCAACTCTGAAGGAAAGCTGCAGATAGCAGAATGGGTGATTTGCAGTGATTTGCAACAGGCTACATGTTAAAGACCGATTTGTAAAAGGTGACAGTGCAGGCACAAAATCAGGCTGGAAACTTTGTCCTTTATAGCAATTAAAACAATTACTACACCAGGGGAAAATGTAAAAAATCATGGTTCAAAGCCATAGCAAAAATATTTTTCAGATATTTTTCAAAAGGATTGCAAACAATATCTCATCCAAATAGTTGAATACATTGATCTAAGCGCTATATTAGTCTGTAGTAAAGACAGGTTTATCCATTTGTTTTCAAAATTCTGTAGAGAGCTTAAAAAGAAGTCATTCAGGCCCACAGCTGCTCTAAGTTGGCTCATTGCCGTAGAAGCAAATAGAGTTGTCCATTTGTCTATCAAATAAATTTCCAGTGAACTTACATTTAATGCTGCCACTAAAAGTGTCAACAAAAGAAACCCAGCTAAGGTGTTTGTTGTGTACAGCTGGAAAGATGGCTTTTTGTTGGCAGCAACCACACTAATCCTTTCTTAATCTCTATTTTTATAATTGCTTTCCCTTTCTTCTTGCAAACACTGCCCTGTTACCCCACCGCATTAAAGCTCTGGACGTGGAGTAAAGAGGAAACGTGCCTGCTATGAGTGGTGTATGCACCTGATCCCCGGTGCACGAGGGGAGGCTTCCCCGTGCGTAAGGACACCCGTGTGCCCACGAGGTGTATGTGTCTGAGTGTGCCAATGGCTGGGGTTGACGTGTGACACTGACACGAACAGCGTCTGCCTGCATGTCACATGGCAGTCAGCTGCAGGTTTCATTTATGTACCCTCTGCCCTTTTTAAGGAATTAACTCAAGAGTGTGATGAAAAAAAAATCCAATACGACAGTTGTGCAGCGGGGTTAGAGAGCAGCCGCTCCACGCTGGAACAGGTAAGGCGGTGACTTGTTCGTGCACATATTAGTAAATGCTGTGTAACATGGTATTTGCAGTGGTACAGCGTTTTCCCTGCTTTCCCTCTGGATATGGCAAGTACAAACCCACTTCAGGTGGAAATGAGTCAATGGTGATGCACAGCTATGCAAATGATGCGTGAAGCTGCTGAGGACTGGCTACAGCCGCACACGTCTGTTCTGAACAGCACCAGTGAGCTCAGTGGTACCTCAGTCCATCCACCGCCATCCTGCCTTGATTAGCAAGAGTACTGCAAAGCAAGATGCATCTGCCAGAAATCCTGCTGACCCCAATAGTGTCTGTTAGGAAGGAATCTGACCATAAAATAAGGATTAATTTGTCAAGACAAATCTTTATATGTATTTAGCAGATTCATTAAATTAGCAACCAATCCAATGGATAATTAGTGCACTGAAACTGATGGCAAGGATGCTTCGTTAAATGTGACTTTCCTGTAATCTAATCTTTTAAAAAACAACAGTTTTTTAAAAATACAACCATATAGGAATAGCCAAGAGCTTGTGTGTATGCAGTTTATGCATTACTTGAACTATAGCACTTACAGAAAGGCACATACTTAAGCCAGCGCAATCCCTTAAGGTAGGGACAGTATCACTTCACCTGTCTGAACCTGCTTTATCTCACTAGGTCACCTCCTGTGAGTTTTGTCTGGACTTGATTTTTCAAGGCCTTGGCCATATAAGGAATATATTTCAAAATAAAAAAGACATACATTTAAAGTGTGGGTAGAAATATAGATAACTCTTTTCCTGCTCTAAAAGTACCTTTCTGTGGCTTAATCCAAGAAAACTAAAAGAATCCACAGATAAACCTACTATGAAGCAGACCTTCCATAAGAACAATTTTCCAATAGCAGTCAAGGCTGCTTTTCTTGGCAGACAAATCACAGTCATTTTCTAACACATGGTGACAGTCACCTCACTGACTGAGCTGGACGCGGCTGTGCAGAGAATTCAGTTTTCCAGCTGATGGTCTGGAAATCGCATGGTGACAGAGCTCTGGAGTTCACAACTGCTGTGCAGCCTGGAGTACATGAATAACGTTTGGATTATTAGGGGTTTTTGTATGGACCATTTAGAGCTGGAACTCACCCGTCTCCATACTCCTTAACATAATTACTGATTGCTAATTAGCATACAATTAACATGCCTGTAGCTTCTAACATGCATTTTGCAGATGTGTTCCAGGCAATGCTTGTTCACAACCCTATTCAGCACTTAAGATGTGCTTAGAAACAAGAGCCTTGGCAGCGCTTGGGAAGTGTCTGTTAGAAGTCAGTCATGTTAATAAACACCTATTAACAAGCATTTAGTATCTCTAACTGTGACTGAAACTGCAAATCCAAAAAAAGCAATCGTCTTTCACTTCAAAAGCGACTTCCGTAAAGCCCAAATTATATCAACATTTAACAAATTATCAATTTGGTGTTATGCCTGTTTCTGTTAGGGACTCTCGTGGTTTCTAGAGCAACACAGGGCATCCCCTGTGGACCTGCAGTTACGATGTCCTTTGAAACCTTACTGTTGTTCTACAGGAAGTGAAAGGACTTCTGGAGGAGTGTGTTCAGGAAGAAAGCAACTACCGATATATTAACTGCATGAAAAAGGTAAGATCACAAGAGGGACCAGATTGTTCATTGTGAAATGAAATAGCAGTTATAATATATATTTTTTAAAATTATGTATTTCTTTATAGAATCTAGAAGTACAGCTGCAGCGTGCTAAAGAGGAAATGAAGGCATACGTCTCCCCAGACCCGCACGAGAGACGAAATACAATTCGGTGAGTGTATTAATGGGTTTCCTTTGTGTTCACTTGAAGGATGCTCATAAACTAAGGTTGAAGTTAGGAATTTTCTCACTGGCATTTGAACTGGAGGAGTTCACCTGATAAATTTAGAAACACTGTAATAATCTAAAAATAAGCATCTTGAATTCCAGTATATGCTGCTGTAAGCCTACGAATTCTCTCAGCCAGACCAAAAGATTTTCCCTTCCTGCTGGGGATCACAGGCCGCAGGGAGCATTTAACTCCAGCCCCTGCTGGCCCAAGCCCAGAGCAGCTGAGCTCCACAGGGCTCACAGGAGTGGCTGTACCAGCCCCGATGCCTCTGCCTACTTCCCCTGGGATGGCAGCGTGGAGATCTGCCACCCCTCAGAGACCACCACACGCTGCCTGCAAATCCTGGCTATTTCTCACTGATCTTCTACGTTCTTTCGTTTCATCATAAATGGATTTTGGTTTGCTCCTATTTGTAGTTCCTACTGGAGCTGCAAGGAGTGCTGTTCTGTACCATCACACAAACCTTCATCGTTACACTTCATTGCAGTTCCTCCCATAGAATACAAGTGTCATCCTGTGAGTTCAGGTCATCCTCTGAGTCTTTTCAGGACCCATTGCCTTTGCCTGGTAGGGAGAGAAGCACAAAAGAATTGACCTCAGTATTTTTGGGGTGTATTTTTCTATTTTAAATGATGCAGTCCTGCCAAAGATTGAAGTGGTTTTTGAGAATGAGATATTTTGGATTAATGATCTCTGCTAAGAAGTCTAAATGTTACCATGCCGTATAGATTTGTTACACTTTACTGCATAAATACTTCTGTAAAGTATCCTGTTTAAAATTTTGTATATGTTAAATCTTTTAATACAATATAAAAGTTGAAACAAAATTCAGGCAGTAAGTGTCAGCAAGCTGGTTCAGCCCCATCAAAATTAAATATCAGGAAAATCCAAACCAAAACATTCATAACTTTCATTTGGTAAAAGTGTCAAAACACCTGCTTTTTATTCTTCATAATGAGTTTTTCAAATTTTTCAGAATCTTACATGAAACAGAAATTCTGTTTTCCAGCTGGTTTCATTTTTGACAGAAACCATTTCTTAGATCCTAGCTGCCAACAAAGCAAACAAGCTCAAATTGCTGTCACTAGTTCTACAAAGTGGTCTTTGGCTTTTGCACCACAGTGTTTCTGTCAGGAAAATATTTATCAGAACAGTAGTTTTAAATTCATGTTTGCTGGGCTTGATCAGGAGTCTTTTTGTTTTATTTTTTAATGAATGGAATGAGTGAAAAGCACTCTGATGCTTTGAGAGTAGGACTGGATCTCCTTAAAAGTGCACTCGTTGCCGTGCCAAGCAATCTCCGCAGAGTTTCTCATGTTGAGCTCAGTGCATCAGCTCTGCCTCGTCCCTCCCCATCTCACCGTCTGCACCAATCCACATTTCTACCATTTGCTGCATTGCTGGGGCTGTAAAAAGCCACAGCAATGGCGCTCCTGGACGCGATGCCTTTTCTTCGATTTCTGCATTTGAGTTTCGGCGATGGCACAGATTGCTCCTCGAGCTCTGCGGCATCTGTCATGGCAGAGCTGTGCTTCGTGTGCAGTCGTCTGCACAGCATGCCAAAATGCTGCACAGAACTGTCCCAGTCACAAAACAATTTGAAAACGTGGCTGAGCGGCAAAGCCAAGCCAGAACTGCTTAATTAGATCATCAATAACCGTTCTGCGTTCCAATTCAAACCATCCAACGTGCTGACACCACAACGGGAAAAGAGAAACAGTCATCACTTCTCACAGGAGATGGAAGGATAAATTCATTTCCCAAGATATCTGTCCTCTTAGGGCTTTTTACCTTTCAGAAGAATTCCTGGACATTTCTGTTGGAGGGGTGGCAACATGGGAAGCACTGTTAGTTGGGAGTATGTGGCTATGTATAGTATATGTATAATATATGTATAGTATATGTATAGTATATGTGGTCCAGTGCCATTCAGTATCACCTGAGGCAATTTCTTCACAGGTTATGGAGTGAAAAAAGGTGGTAGTTGACCACTAAGATTTCACTCTGGAATGGGGCCATTGGCAGGGATAGCTACAGTCAAACTGAGTGAGGAAACTGTAGGGATTCCCTTGGGAGACCCTAAGAGATGAGGTTTTCTTCCTCCATCAGTTTCCTTGTGAATGAGAAGCTGTCCCAATGTCCCTTGCAGTGGTACCAGAGGAGCTGCATCTCCTGCGGTTCTGGAACGTGATGCAGAGGTCATAGGAAATGAAGAGTGAGATTAATGTCCATCACAGAGACCTTCTCAAGGAGCTGAGGCATGCAAATGTAGGAAACAATGTAGGAGAAATAAGAAGAGAATCAAAGCTACTAGTGTTAGGGTGGGAGAAAAGGACAAGGAGATAGGATGTGAGTGGAGGCTAAGGAGCCTCTTATTCCATCTCACAAAATAATTTAGGAAAGAAAAGATTTCTCTAATGAAAGATGATGAAACAGCAAAATTAAGCAGAAGGACGACAAGAGAAGTGGCCATGAGAAAAATCCTAGTGATGCTGTGAATATTGACGAACGTGAAAGGCAGGAGAGCTCACCGTGCGGCTGGGAGGAAACGTGGGTCGGGCCGCAGGTGCTGTCCTGTTACGGCCTCGCAGGGAAGGAGAGGGTCAGGGTTTATTCACAGATGCTGAGCAAAAATGCTCCAACTCGAAACGCTTGTGAAATGCACATCCACAATGTGAGCATCCACACAGCCAAGTGCTGGAATTCGGCGTGAGTGAGCCGTGTGATGCCAGGTATGGTGTGGGGAATGCGAAGGGAGCATTGCCACACTGCTGTCCCTGCTGTGCTCGCTGACTGTGGGCACAGGGGCTGGGGAAATCATCGCTCTTGCAGTGCCTGCATACATTTTTGACCTTCTGTAAGAGGTCGCAGACTGTCGCATTGCAATGCATTACAACAAAGTTCAGTCTCTGCAGAATATAAAATGAAACTATAGACTTTTTTTCTAGACATCCATTTAGAATGTGAATGTATTTTTCAGCAGGCACTGGAATGTAAACAGAGTAAAATGAACCATAAATAGAGGAGCACTTTCCTAACAACATATTGAACAAAAAATGTCTTAACTCCAACCCTCTTTATTGAATATAAACTCTCTGTTCCGTGGAGTCACTTCTTAGGAATGTGAAAAGTTAATTTTCTCCTCTAAAAATAGAAAGTTGTGGGGTTTTTAATGAAGTTATTAAGTTGCATTCTTTCCAGTCATCATTAGAAATAGTTAAAGAAAATCTTGCTAGGAAAGACATCTAATCTTCTGATGATTACTTTGTAAACTCTCCTTAAAAAAACCCCAAGTGTGTTCTTGAGGCCAAAAGTGTGCGAACGTACGCTGTGTGGCAGTGGAAGCAAGATCCAGCGTGGTTTTCCAGCTCTGATTCGGTGAGGATTGCTGGGCTCAGTGGTGCAGCACAGCACTTCAGCAGCCTCAGGATGGCCCAGAGCTGCCCATGGGTGATGATCACAAAGCGACCCCAGCAGGGACAGTGGCAGCGGCAGCGAGGAGCCAGGGCCCAGGCGCTCCCGTCACAGCCTGCAGTGCTCAGGAGAAATTGCAGAATGTTGGAAACACACCACGCTCTAGCAAACCTTCACACTCTGCTAGCATGAAGGCTGATATTTCTGTCTGGAAATTAGGATTCCTCTACGCAAAGGGCTTCCACCCTGAGCAGTTTGGAAAGTTCTTTAGATGAGCTGGGTTATTTTGAATTCCGATAGCAAACGCTCAGCCTCTAAGTGTACCTGTTACACACAGAATATAATGATTGCTTTTTTTTTTTCCAGGTGAATCAGTAAAGAGTTTTTTACTGTCACATTTTAGAATAAGTCCATAGTAATGTATCTGAATGCTGCTGTTATGCTTTGCACGTTGTATCATCAGGCTTCATGTATCAAGGTTTCATGTATCAAGTTTGCATGTCCGAAAGTGATCTCGCTACTTGTTACAGACAAAGGTGTACAGCCAAGATTTTTAATAATGAATGTCAACAGTTACGCTTCTAAGCCTATATTTAGGCACCTACATGTGGTGGCTGTTTTCTGAAAGTGAGGAGCACACAGCGGTTCCATTACAGTCACTGGATTTGTCAAACCTGGGCTGAAATCCTATTCCCCTCCATTCCTGCATTTTCCCACTCATTCTGATGCTCCCTTCACAGCAGTTAGGGGCTGTGTAAACTCTGGTGCTTGTACGAGTGACGCTGCTGGCTAACCTCGGAATACCACCAGGTTAAATGCAGTATTAAAAAGGGATCAAGTACATCTTAGCTAAATGGTCTTGTTGTTGTGTTCAAGCTGGAAGGAGCGGTAAGCATGGCTGCTTCAGAAATGAAAGAGGTCTTACCCAATGTCACTCCTCCCAGCTGCAGAGCTGAGAGGAGCAAAGAGATCCTTGATATCAAGGGTTATTTTATCCAATGATAAAAAGGTTTCTTCACGCTTCCTCTTCTACCTCGTTTATGAACCTCCCCATACTTTCATAATATTCCATGCTTGCATCTTGATTTTGTCCTATGACATAGAAACAAATAAAATAATAATAAAATTATTTTTATTTCCTTTAGAGAGCAGTATATGCGAATGATCCTTGAACAAGAAAACCTTGGGAAGGTAAGGAGGAGGTTTTTACCTTGTAAAAACACTGTACCGTTCGTATTTTATTACCAAAGGCCGTGGTTGCTCTTTTATAAAAAGCACATTGCAGCCCACAGAGAAGATTCCGTGGCTGCTGGCGTTGGTAACTCACACCCTGAGAAGAGATCGCGCTCGCTTGCAGGGCTTGATTTCCTGCAGAGCATGGCAGGAGCCGCTGGTAAGAGAGAGCCAGACGGCTTAACGTGACAGCACATTCCCTGAAAACCATTTGGACAAAAGCTGTAACATGGGCCTAGCAAACTGCGCCAGCTCAGGTTTTATGTTGTATATTAAGCAACCTGTTGAAGACAATAAATTCGGAGCCTGTCAGCCTTATCACTGCTGTTAAAGGCCAGGGGATCATCAGCGCAGCGGTGCTAAAAAAGCAGTTGTCCATTTTTAATCTTGTATAAAGCTCAGGTCAGCGTGGAGGAGGTTAGGCTGACCAATTCACTCTAAACATCTTTCTTTTCTTAGTTTCCTCTTTATGAGTCGATCTATGAGCAAGTTTTACAAGTTTGGGCTGCCACTGTTAATAATCAGTAGCGAATCTCATTGTAAAATGCTAATTTCATGTTTATCTCATGATGATACGAATCCACAACTTGATACTGCAAGAGCTCTGTATGAAAATGAACTCAGATTTCTAGCATAACTTCTCAACTAGCTAAGACTATTATTTACTTTTAAAACATTGAAATATGAAGCAGATATCCAAGTCCCACGTGTTAATGCATTTAGCACTCCTTGCAGGAGTGTTATCAACTTGAACAAAAGTTCATATTTCAGTTGCATATAAAAATATTTGTTATTCACAGCTATGTAAGCATTTTTTTTGGTGTAGAACTGTTCCAGAAATGGAATATTTTTGTGTTTTTAACAGAAACTACGAGAGAAGCAGAAAGTTGTACGGGAAAGTCACGGGCCAAATATGAAGCAAATGAAAATGTGGCAGGATTTTGAGCAGTTAATGAAATGTAAGAGAGAATGTTTTCTGAGACAACAAAACCAAACAGCTATTGGTGAAGTCATTCAGGAAGGAGGTAAAGATAGGCTTGTGTTATGAATTCTTTTTCTCCATACCACCAGGAAGTAGGAAGACCATGCGTTGGCTTCTTAAAGGTCACTTCTTACTAAACATGGTTGCTTTCATGATTTCTACAAAATTTGTTGTACATTATTTGGTTTTGGTGGATAAACTGAGTGCAACTTGCCACTCTACAAAGCTTTTGGTCCATTGTTTAAGTGATAGCGTGGTTCAGAAGATCTGTTATGGGCTGCACTGGGGTGAACCTCATCGTAAATCTTTGGTTTATGAGGCTGGGAATGGCATGCATCTGCAGAGAGATCAAAGGAAAAGAAATCCTTCTCCAGGGTCACAGAAAATGCGCGTAATTGCTCTGCTCCTTATTCTGTATCACTAAGGTTACATTTTGCAAGGCCTGCGACTTGATCTGGTGTAATTGTGGCCCTCCTGGCTTGGCCCTGTCCTTCCCCATTGTCTGTATCCATCTGCTGTGACTGGCAAGAATGGAGCCACTTTGCTTTGGCTGCACAGCCCTCGCCTGCGTGCTCCCAGTCAGACTTTCTCTGCACGCTTGAATTAAACCGATTGTGCTGCCACAGCGTCAGGAGTCGGTTCTGAGAACAATTACTTGGATTCTGAGCTTTTTCCATTATCTTTTGTTGTTAACAAATGTATTTTTTCTGAGTTGCCCATGTGAAAGCGTAAACGGTGGCTTAGCGAAGGCTTTCTCCCTTGAGGACATCTTGTGGGTTTTGTCTGTGCAGCATGGTTCCCGAAGGGCTCATCCGAGTGACGGGGGTAGTTGGTGGACGGAAATAGGGCTCCGTGGTTCTGGCATGTGTTGGGGTGTGTGAAATAGGCAGGTAGGCAAAAGCTGTCTCACACTCTGGCTTGGACCTGTGAGCCCTTAAAATCCCATCACGAGCCCCACAGCTGCCCCAGGGCGAGAGGAATGCAGGTCAGGCTTGAAACTGTCCCTCACGCTTCGTCATTTCGGATGAGCGCCTCTTAGCCACAGCCACGGAGCAGAAGCGGAGAGATAAGTGTGGGACCAGAACTCCTGCTGTTCTTCTTTGGTCTCCTGACTTGCTGAATATCTAGATAAGTTTGGGGTTTTTTTTTTAGTTTTTCCTGTCTGAAGTAAAATGTCTTTTCAGGACACAGAAAATAATTTCACTTTCTCTGGTACATAACTATGAGCTCTTCTGCTGTTTTCTGTATCAAGAGAGAGTATGGTGTTTATATAGTTTCTAGTTTGCCTTTGCATTACATAGATTTGTTAACAGAACTAAAATAAAATCTGAGCACTACATTTTGACTGTGTGGTATTCATTTTTTTACGTTTCTCGGATGAAAGGAAGTAAATTGTTAGTGACAAGTAGCTTGCTGGGTCACGAGAAGAGAGGTTTGAATGGTCACTTGATGACATTTATTTCAGATGACCCCAGAGGGTTCAGACCTGCAGTGTATGTGTAAGGAGTGGGTCTCAGATCCGTAGATCCCCAGGACATCCTCATGCAAGCCCTCCCACGCTGCTGCATAGCTGCAGCTTGTCTTTCTCAACAGCTGCACGCTAACCTTTCCCGGGACAGGGCGACGCAACACGTGTGCCCCACGCACATTTTGGGTGAGTGCAGAAAGAGGCTGCGGTGTGGGACACAGGCACAGGTAGAGCTGGGCAGGGTGGGCAGAACGCACAGCGGTGCCACCACCCACTGCTCAAGAAGCTGTTACAGGGCAGAACGGGCTGCAGTAAGGGTGGCTGTGTCCATCGGGAAGGGAGGAGCTCAGGAAAAGGATGTGCAGACTGCACGGCGTGGGCACAGCCATCTCCAGACACCTCTACGTTTGCTCCCAGCTCTCCCTGGACCGTTACTACCGCACTTCACCTGCACTGCGCTGTGTAGCCCCTTGAGCCTAGGAAAGCTGTGGTGGTTGTGTACCTGCAGTCCTGAAGGAGGGCTTGGCTGAACGCTGCCAGCAATAGTAACATAGCAGAGACAACTCGATATGAGACGTGCTGAAAACATGGGATATTGCCAAAAATGGGCCCTTAGGTTACTTAGGAAACAGCCCATGGTTGAGAGTCAGCAGACAGGGCAGGGAGAAAGGCGATTTTATATACTTTGAGTCAAAACTTTCAACAAAGCCCTAGAAGCCCTATTTGACTGGACCGTTCATGCAAAGATGTAGTACCTGGATTAGGCAGTTGCCCAGGGAAAAGCAATGGTTTTGAAATTCATGCAATGATGCAGAGTAAGATTGAGTATAATAATTTTCTGTTTTTCTGTTCAGTTACCCTAAAAATAGTCCTTGTAAAAACAGTTTATTGCTAGTTACTCAAAGATGACGTGATTGTTGTTCTGATCTGATTAGTGTTCTGTCATTCGTACTGCACCAAGAAAGGGCACGCAGATTATACACTACAGCAGCAGCAAAGTGGCTTTCTGAGATGAAGCAGAAAATCATAATAACTGTTATGAAGAGAAAATTGGAAAAGCTCAAATGCTATTTTTAACTTTTTATATAAGTGGACATTTCGTAAATGCAACTTTAATGGATTCTGTTCGCTGGCTTTTCCACCTCGTTCACGATTTGATGGGAACATTCGAAAATCTTTGACTGAATTTCACAGTTACATCTCTGCTTCCAAATTTGCAACAAAAAGTTTACTTCTCATTTTTTTACTTTGCTGTTCTTAATAGCACAGCCAGTTAGCTGATAGGATTAAACATGACGTATGGAAAAATACCTGCCTTTTCCTTGTGAAGGTCCAAATCAATAAAAAGTCTGCATAGTTAAATTTGGGGCCTCAGCACTTACCCGATTTCATCCCGTTGGAGTCCTGATCCAACAGCAGCAGTTTCAAAGCAGCTTCTCCTTATCTTTACCCAGGAAGTATCCAGCTGTGAAACTGCAGTTTTACATGATTTAGTCCTGTTGGCTTAGCTGTCCTTACAGCTACAGACAAGTTCCACATGGACCTAAGATGAAATAGTTACAGGCATCAGAAATAGGCATGAGAAAACAGGACATTTACCGAGTAACACGAGCAGCCATTTTCCATCAGGTTTTCAGATTATTTTGTTTGTATTAGTGGCACCATTTTACTTCCATGTGAACCATAATAAATAAATGTTCTTAGACTTCCTTAAGTAACCCAAATCCAGGATTACTTTTTTGTTTATCTTTACTCACGTGGATATTACTGCTAATGAAGTCATATGCATATAGTTGCCCACAATCATTAAAGTTAGGCCCTGCTATTGTATTTATCGTGTTTAAATGTGCTGATTTCCAGAGCTTTCTTGACAAAGCTCTCCTACAGTATGATGCTGCTCGCTGTTATAAAACACAGTACAGCAGAATTATTTATCTACAGTTCAGTGCCTAGAAAATGCCCTCACGATGAGGATGTTCTGGTTAATAAGCATGGATAGTACAGTTCCCAAAAAGCAATATAAAATTTGTTCTCAGTGCTTTGCTGGTTCAGGAACAGGAACTGAAGTACAGAGCTGCTCCTCCTTAGGTCGCTGGTTCATGGCTGGCCCAGGTGAACGGTGGCCAAAAGCTCCCTGTGCACTGCCTGGTGGCTGCCCCCAGCGGGGGTCTGTGCAGAGCGAGCTGCAGTACCCGGACCCTTTCCCTTTTCCCCTGTCTGGGGAGCCCGGAGCCAGCTTCACACCAAGGCAGAGAGACTTAAAGCTGAAAGACCACAGAGACTGGAGTGCTGTCACCGAAAAGTGTCCCCTTCATAGAGAGGTCACGGCACATTGACACAGCAGCATGGGAAGCTGTTACCCCATCACCTTGTCTGCGGATGAGGAGAGCGCTGCTGCTTGCAGCTCTGGGTTCTCTCACTGGCCCTGGATTTGCCCGGACTTCAGTGAAAAAAATAAAGCATTGGGTCTGAACCATGCCCTCTGTTATCATGTGGAGCAGCAGGGCTCCTAAAAGGAACACCGTTAACTCTTCAGCTGCCTTCATTGCACTCTGCAATGGGAACAGAACTGACATTTTCATGGACGTGCCAGTGCTCCGGGGGAGGAGGTATGACACGAACCAACAATTTTATCACAAGTACCACCTGTCTGGGCAACAGCCAGTTGGGCAGGTTGTTTTTTAACAATCAGAACTTGACCTATTTCCAACTTGTTTAAAGAGATTTTTTTGTTTAATTCTCAGCATGAATTTAAAATGGGTTCTCCAAACCCTCAGTGCCTCTGTTTCTGCAGCGTCAGTGTCCCCGTAGCCGTCTCCAAAGTCCCAAGGCAATCCGTGGGATTCCAAGATCATTGGGTGAAAAGGGCATTTTTCACAACTGCATTACGTGGATTTTCATTATTCTGGTTTACAGACAGAAATAAGAGCTGTAAGGCTCTGTGCCGTGGTGATGGCAAAGTGGGTGAGGCCTCTGCTGAGTGAGGGGGGAGCAAACATATTCCAAATAAGCAGCAGGAACTGCGAGACAAACCGTGCAGTCCTCACTGTCACAAACCCGCACTGACTTCGGTGGGAGTTTTGCCAAAACAAGGACTGCTGGATTTAGCTCGGTGTTCTTCCTCCTGGCAGAGCAAGCAGGAATTAAAGGGCCAGCAGCAGATTTACAAGACACGGAGAATGAAAACGAGCTGTAATTATCTGAAATAAAACCTTTCATCCAACACAATTCAATGTTCCATGAGACACAGACTAATTTATAACAGAAAATAAATGTTTGTGGAAGTTTTTCTCAGCACAAGCAATCAGAATACACAAGTCCTTAGCAATATGGTTTGATTTTCATTTGACAACTATGACAGGCTGTCTTGCACAAATCTAGGACTGGAGTATGCATAGTGTTTACCATTAAAATACAACTTTATGCATTACCTTGTATCTAAAGGCATTGTTTATATTTATAATTAAAAAAAAGAAGATTATTTTTACTTTTTTCTTTTTGCATTTCCATTCCTCACAGTTTTGAAAAAAAGAAGTGTGTTTCTGCAGATGAGGATGCACACAACCAGCATTTGCTGAACGCCAGGAGCTGGGGGTCTTTTCCTGCACATGGCTCCACGCAAGGCAATCTCTGTGACGCTGTTTTGTTCAGTCTGGCATTACAGAGTAACGTGGCGTTTGTAAGCTTCTACATTTTAGTGCAACTGCTCAAGTTTCAAAACCACTCTTTTATACAACAAGCACTCAATTAGGTCTACTCTTGAAACAGGATAAAGCCAAGTCCTGCACGTTTTGCTAATACCAGAGAAAATGCAGTTGATAGGAGTATGGAAAATGGGATCTTACCAGTTTTCCAAGATAAATTCCTTTCTCTCTCCCTACTTCTTTTCCCTGGAATGGAATAGAAAATATGCACTTAGGGAGCAACAACAACAAACCCGTAAAGGCATAGATCACGTACAAATAATAACCATGTAAGGGAAATAATGAAGGAATTAACCTTACAATTTCTTCTTTATAAATTTTACAACCGGTTCATACTAAAAACAAAACCCAGAAAATTCTTAAGATGTTCTGCAGTTAAAATTTGTGGGGTTTTAGTGCTTTACTTTTTACTGGATTAGTGTTTTTTAAATAGCAGTTGAAACTCTAGGGTTATGAAATATGGCTAATTCAGCAGTTTACTTGGTTTACACTATTGCAGCATTTTCTGTCGAGTAAACGAGTGTTCAGGC